GGGGTCGTCCCTATGAGAACGAAAGGGAACACGTTTGTACGGCAACCGAGGGGGGCCTGAATCTTAGTCATTGATACACTTTAAACCGAGCTCCTGTACCCGGGGTGACTCATATATAATAATCGTCATCGACAGCTGATCCCAGATGCGTACCGAAGATCGTGAACGGGACGGGACAGCAACACGTACCACCCCTAATAGTCCACCCTTCGTTCCCAAACGAACTCCAATGGACACCCCTCGGTGCCTCGAGCCCTCTAATAAAGAAGTGGGGGGTACATAGAACATTTTCACAAAGCAAGCAGCCCCTCGCGATGACTAATTCATTAACAGCACCGGCACTCTCGGTGTCCCGTATGACGTTAAGGGGGGTGGGGACCGTAGGGTGAGGGGAGATCAAAAAAATTTTTTGAAAATTCAAAAACTTAAAAAAATCCAACCTATATTTTTCTATATGAATTTTCATTAAAATCTCTTGCGATTACGCGCCGCACCTGCTCCATCGCGGCCGAGTCACTCGATACGACGATGCATTTAATTACACGATGCAAAATCGTGGGTGGCTTCGGGTATCCCAGAAGCAACGTGCGTACCACGCGGGCCAGACATTGTTCTCGGCTTACGGCTCTCTCAGGACTCGCTGTTAGACCGACTTGTAGGTTATAGGATCGCAGGAAAACGAACCTAACCTCAATTTAAACAGGTGTAACAGTCCTTCGCGAATCGGGCAAGGGCGAAGCAGCCAGTCGAGGAATGGCGCTACCAGTGATAATGAGAAGTTACGTCAGACCGTCCATTAATTTTCCACAGCTTCCGTAAATGATATTACTTATCGAATGTGACATCTGCATACGACAGGTATGAAGTATCGTAGTGAATATGTGTGTATTAATGTCACCCTTGATTCTGGCACGTTTCCTCGGGTGCTGACCTCGTAAAAGCATCTACGATCACACTCGGAATTTATCAGAGCGCGATTCTCCTACGTATAGGAAACGGACAATTGCGTCATAGGTAGATACGTAGATAGAGGCGGCAGAGACGGAAAGAAAGAAAAAAAAAGAAAAAGAAAAAGAATGTGAATGACTGTATATACGAGTATGGGTCTGCATTGAAATTCTCAATGAAAGGTTTCGCTGACTGACGATAAATACTGGACACCGGCGTAACGCCATTCAAAGTTATATACCTAAGTGCCGGCCAGCTGTGTCAATTGTAATTAACATTGACTGCACTGTTAATCGGTATATTAGATGTAATAACGTACTATACGTTAATTGAGTGAGCCTTAGAGTACTAAGTAACCCAGAGACATACGTGGCATGTCAATGTATAATGGTATATAGGAATAGTGGTTGAATAATTACAGAAACAAAAAAAAAGTGCCTGCTTCCTTACGCCAAGTTGATAACACGTCGATAACAGACGTATACGTTTGATTACTACAATGGTTTAGGATATTTCATATTTCGAGTCCTCGTTCTTTCCGGTACAAGTCTTAGATATATATATATATATATATATATATATATATATATATATATATATATATAGGCATGTTCAATTGTTTCCCGTATTTCGTGAAAGCCGCCCGCGAGTTAGAAGAGGAGCTTCGTAACTCGCGTATGATTTGACAGAAACATAGAGATAAGCCAAGCGAACAGCAGATGGCAGATAAGGGGGACAGTCGCCGACTTCGTTGTACGACATCCAAGACTCCTGCGCCGACGCCGGTCGACGAGATACTGCGCGCAAGACGGGAGACGCAGGTTGGTAGCGCGTGAGGTCGGTACGCCTAATACCGAGAGTCGTCTGTGCGCATGCGCCGATTACGTATAGTAAGCACGTGAGTCAGCAGCGGTTCACGTTATAAGCGGGTACACTCCGTGTGTATATCTATATAGGAGGCCTGGTATGTATGGATATATATATATATAGTATATCTAGTGTATAAGGGTACCTGTGTCAGTGAAGCTCCGTCTGTTTACGCTCGAGAACTACACGGTATGGCCATATGTCAAAATCTCATTGCATAACGGTCCCTCTCTGGTCGACGGCGCGGCGTCTCTTTTTCGCTATTTAGCCGTGAGTCAGAGGACGCGGATAGTTGGACGGTAATGGCTTTGAGGATCGATACGATCCAGAATAATAGACTCGTACGTTCAATGGGTACGATATACGTGTTACGATTGTCAATCGTAGACAGATGCATGACGGGATCGTCTTTTAGGTTATTAGGTTATCTTATAATTGCGTACGTAGCTTACTGTATTGTTACGTGGGTCTATGTTGTGACTGTTACTGTCGAGAGGTACGGCGCGCGGTGGGTTCTCCATGACTGTTTTATTTATCGACGGCTTGATGCGGGCTGGCAATGGGGACCGAACAAAGCCGTTGGCTGTTTTACCGGCGTTATCGCGACTCGTCGCTTAGTTCATCGTTGAATTTAGCCGTGGCAGTTTTGCGCGCACGTAGAAAGCTCGATCGTCATCGATCGAAAAACAAGATTCGCGCCAGTGCCACTTGGCTTAAATGATATCGTGGACTGGGGCAAAGGGACGGTCACGAAGATCGTAAGTCGAATCAGTCGGAACGAACTGCAGGACTTCGCGTCGACACGAGAGGGGCGCGGCGATCGCACGAATGGCGGGAAAATTCAAAATTACTGCAGACGCGATTTATCGAATTTTATCGACTCGGCAAGGTCGTTGTCCTGCACACGGAGTCAGCAGTCATTCTTACCGATCAGCTGACTCCCGCTCAGTTCTTGCATGCAAGTGACCGTGTAGTAAGAAGCTGCTCAAATCGTTCTTTTCTGTGTATCAAACTCGTTGTTTCGGTATTGCGAATACTTTTTGTACTCGACGGGGCACGTGCCCCGAAGGCGGTTTTCATCGAGGAAAATTGACGTCTGTTATACGAAGCGCTGACAACGGGCGTAAAAGCGTTGTGCGCAAATTCAGCCGGACTATTCGCGGCGTCATCCTGCTCTGAGTCATTCCTATGAATAGATTCCTATCTTGCCTTGCCTCTGACTCTGGTAGTACCCCCCCACCCTCTCTCTCTCTCTCTCTCTCTCATCTCTGGACCTCGTGTGCTTTATATTCTTGTACCATTTTCTTTTTCTCTTTCTCTCCGTCTCTTCCTTGGGACCGAGGGTATTCCACTTGGCAAGTTATTCCGGTGGCATTGGTTATATATATATTGTTCGACTTATTTATTTATTCGCGGAAACATTGAGACTGACACAGTAAGGGCGTAGAAAATTCCTTGGTAATGGGGTAAAATCCACGGACATTGCAAGTTATTGCGTAAGGCGTGCACGTCGTTATTGCAAATTGGGTATAAATAGAGATGGCTTAGCGGAGAGACAATTGCCCAGTGGGGTTCGACCGGTGTCGTTTAATAATTAGTAATTCTTGAGTTGCGTGCATTGTGTGCAGTTCGCGCGCGTGTGCGCGTGCGGGTCCGTAGACATATTTTGCGACAGTGCAATGACATCGGCTCGGCGATCGTGCAGTCGGATGAAAATTTGACATGGGCGGATAACGAGGCGAGGCTGGGCGCGGTATTACGTATTTTTCCCCGTAAAAAGTGAAAAGAAGAGATCGCACGCGCAAAACTTTTAACGGAGGCGGCAGGCAGGAATAACGCAAGGCGGATCATCGTTATTTCCGTAAAACGCGAGGCGTCCACGTGACTCCGGTGTCAACGTGGTTTAACGTGTGATCGCGAAAAATTATTTTATTTTATTTTTTTTCTCAAAATCCTTCGACCGCCAAAATTGAGACGACTTTCGTAGACCGGGTCGAGCGGTGCGATGGAAGAATTCTCAAGGAATTCGGGGTACAGCACGCCCACGCCGTATCATTGATAAGTATCTCATGCGTAGATAAACAAAATAAATAAAAGATGACAGCCACCGAGAGAGAGAGAGAGAAAGAGTTGCCGTCGTCTTCGGCATGACGCAAAGATCGCCGTCTAATGTTGACGGGAGGAAAGAGAAGAAAAACAGTCGAGAAGGTTGCCATTGACGACAAACAGAAACGCGTGTAGATGCGCGTGCGTACAAAAGAAGAAGGAGGAGGAAGTACGCAGAAATTTGTCCTACGCACTACGTAGTGCGTATCGGCGCTGCCACGTTTACCGAACTTATAAACCGAGCTGATGATGGGTAAAGTGTCAGTGGCGATAGGAGGGCGCTACGAAGACCGGTTCTCCACACATGAGATTTCATGGAAGGCGATCGATCGATCTATCGATCTACGAGTGACGCAGATGATAAATAAAGAACGAATAAAGGACTTACCCAGAAGAAGAGTGGGTTCCCGGTTATCTTCGACGAGGGCTGCAAGAACGAGAAAGAGCGGATGCTGAACGGGCAGATGCTCGAGATCGGCGGTGCAGTCGTCGTAGACGATGACCTCCCGATAGAGACGTCGCCTGAGCACCTCCTTGCCTTCCCTGGCCGTAGCCAGGTCGGCCAGGGTGGCCTTGCCCTGCTGCAGCCGCCTGCGGTTGAACCGATCCGAGCAGTTGACATTGATGGCGCCGCGCACGTGGTTCACGTTGTAGACAATGAAAGGTCGACAGTCGAGCAGGACGGGGGAAGTCGAGGGCTGGTGAAGGAGCCTCCGCGCGAGTTCATCGCTCGTGATGGTGCGCGAGGTCCGCAGCACCAGCTGACGCTGGAGAGTGCCGCTCTCGGAGCAGGGACTGGTCGGTAGGCTGACGGACTCCAGCTTGCAGCGTTTCGGTGGTGCGCAGTTCGCAGACAGAGGGTAGAGGAGGCCCTGATGACGGTGATGATGATGGTGCAGGTGGTGATGATGGTGATGACGATGATGATGGTGATGATGCTGCTGGTACTGATGGCTGTTACTATTGTTATTGTTACTGACGAGGGGGTTCCCGTTGCTCTCGTCAGTTCCGTTGCCGCTGCCGATGATGATGCTGCTGCTGCCGCTGCTGCTGCTGCTGGTCCCGCTGCTGCCGTTCGACGAGGTGGGCGAGGTAGTGGCTGAGGTGGGCGACGTGGGCGTGGCGAGGAAACGATCGCTCGGGGGCCCAGGTTCGCTCAGGCTTCGGTTCAACACGAGTTTGAGGTTGTCGCGCGGCCGCCCGGCCGACACCGGCTCGCAGCACACCAGGGTCGACATCGGCGGCCTGACGTCAGTACCAGTTATATCGAGACGCGACGCCGACGCTGAAAGGAGAAAGGGAACGTGGATGTAGATGTCAGTGCCGAGTGCACTGGCTACGTCGCTCGGTACGAAAGCACCTTAACCAACGACTAATAATACCAATTGCCATTAACTGAGATCGTTACCACTCGTCGCTGTGCTGGACGCTACGATCGATACCGTGTATATCGATACTCGTAAAATATATCGAATCCCCCCCCCCCCCCCCCCCCC